AGTGCATTTTGTAATATGTAGGAGCTCGTAGTTGTTGAAGAGAGTTCACATACCGTGTCGGCGCCACCGAGTCGGTATACGTCCAGTCGGACTGCTGCAAAGATACCGGTCACGTCAGCTGAACTTTTAGCTACGCACTAGTATATATATCATTCGTATCATCCATTCATTGCATTTTGGCCGAACCCAAGTTGGCACGCGGTTTTTCCTCTGGAAAATCCTCAAAAATATTTAATGGACGGAATACAGCATTCCACGCAATGAGCCCGGATGCCAAGTGCTTCGTTGTGTTTTTGTCTACGAAATGGAGCTCCAAGCGGCTGAATCCGTTGAGAGGAAGTGGTGAAAGCCCTCCAGAATGCACTGACCACTGGCCACTGGATAGCCACTTGTCGTCGTTACTCACTGGATCAGCATCATTTTCCAAAAAGCATGGTGCTCATTGCGGTGCTCCTCGCGGTCGTCTTGCTGCGTGTCGGCGGCTCCATCCCAACTTGCGCCTACATGGACTACCCAAGCGGCGTGATCGTCGTCGCCGCTGGCAACTGCACTGTAGCGCGCACGGTGTGCGCCACAAACAACCAGTGCGACCGACTCGACGTGGCAAGGACATTCACGAGCAATGTCTTTACGAACGTCATCGGCATGGGCCGCTTGCCCGATTATACCTTTAGCAACTTGTAGTCGTTGCACACGTCGTTGCACGCTCACTCTTTGTCGTAGGACCATCAAAGATGTCCCGTCCATCACGATCGGACACATGGACCTCCCAAAAACGGTCACGACCTTGTACGCTATATGTCTCTTGCGAAACAAGTGGACGATGTTGCACTAGAACATTTGACAACGTGACCAACGTCAACGTGTCCAAGTCGTTCGGGACGGCGTGGACCTACATCAAGACGTTGTGCGTCGTCGTGCACAGTGCGCAGCATCCTTCTAATGCACGTAGCGGCTAGGGAGTTTATCAACAGTCCCTTCAATTTCTCTGACGGCGTCGTGTGGCCAGTCTGCGTCGAGCGCCTGTACAAGGACCTTCTTTCTTTGAAATAAGATCTCATCGTGGCGCGCCTGTAGGACGCTTGTCAACAACGCGCTGAGCACCATGCCAGTCACTTTTCCCTCTACCATCACACAACTGTAGGACGACCTTGTCTCGTGCTTCTACGACCAAATTATACGTAGTTGGATTCGCGACAACCTTTTCACCGATCTCCGCTCCGTACCCACCAATCTCACCTTCTTGTAGAATATGACATTAATTTGTCGTACGTTTTTAACCGAAAAGGATGGACTAGGAATATTGGCGCCAACAAACTCAAGTCCATCGTCAACGCCGACTTGCGCTCGCTCCGCTACCTGTGCGCGTGTCTCGCTCGATACGGTATCTTCATACATCCGATTAGGTCCATGAGCGACAACAGGGACTTGACTACGATGAACGACGCTCGGTTTGCCAGCATTGCATTCCTGTACGACCTATCCACTTTGAGTCAGTCGGGACGACTATTTTTGTAGAAATTTGACCAATTGCCCAAACCTTGCAACCATTTGCGTCGACGCACCCTCGTACGCGGCTCTGAACGCGCTAAACCCTTGGGACAGCAACGTGACCACGGACGCGCCGACCGGGTTCAGCATCAACTACCCTATCGCAACGGACGCTGCGATGTGTGCCGACCTCGGTGGGTCCATCCAAAAGCTATGGGAAAACACGTCCAGTGTCGCTGTCGCCGTGTGTGTTACTGGTATGGTCGCAATATCGATCCCAAGTGTCTGATGATGGCTGCTAGATTCGAAGCTAGATGGCGGTAGTCGTATGTCTCCTAGTTTGCCACGATCATGAGGTCACTAAGAGTGTCAATGTCATAGGCACGGGTCTCGCCGTCGGCATCATGTGCAGCGCTGCTATCACTGTGGTCGTGGTTGTCTTGTTCGTACTTCGGCGCCGGCGCAAGCCCCTCACCTCGCTCTTTGGCTACATCCAAGCATCTGGGACCAAAAGTACGGGCGGTCTATCGAGCAGTCGCAGTGGCGCAAGAAGAGCATATGCGGACGCCATTCTCAACGTCAAGCCACTCCTCCACCACCGTCTCCAGATCTCGGATCTGCGCGTCACCTCCAAGAAACCGCTCGGGTCTGGTGTCCTTCGGGAAAACTGGCTCGGCAAGTACGGCACCCAGCACGTCGTCATCAAGCGCATGAAGCACCAAGAGCCCCGCATGGCTCAAAAGTTCATCGACGAAATCGTCCTCATGTCGCAGTACGTCGTTCGCTCATGATAGA